ATATATATATATATATATATATATATATCGTGATATGATCTATATATTAAAAAAATCAAAATTTATTTGAAAGAAATATTATCAATCAAATAAGTAATTTAATAATTTAATAATATCATAACAGAATTAATGAAGAATTTATTAGAATTTATTAGAATATTTTTTTTTAACTTCATAATCTTTTTTAATGACGATAAGACTGTTCGTTTAAACTGTTAATTGAAACGATTAGACCGCTTAATAGATAGTGATGATTTCATATACTGGAAACAACATGATGTGAAAGAACTCTACTTGAAATAAAATAAAATAAGAATAATAACATAATAACATCAATATACTTGCCGTTCGGAGAAGAGGTATGCTTAAAAGTCAATCCTCATCTCGTTAAGTAATTGGCCGTTGTGAATCCATTTGAAATTCAAAAAAAAGATCCGACGACTGTTTCACAACGTAAACACACTCACGAAGCAAAGATTAGGCCACACACAGGCAGAAAACACAGGGAACCATTCGTTCGCGCCTCGTGCTTAGATAGTTTTGCGTTCGCTCATTGTTGAATGTGGCCAAGCACGCCCCCTTGAGAGACTGGTCGACTGAGGAATGGAGCAGAGAAAAGAGCGACAAAGAGAGAGTTAAACGGAGATAGAGACAAAAACAGAAAGAGAAGATTGCAAAGCGAAGATAGGTACAGGATGGTTGAAGGGAATTCAAGATGAAAGGAGCGAAAGAATACGAGGCGACGACACAAATCGAATGAAACGCATCAATTGCACAAATTTTTTAAATCACGTACACTGATACACTTCATGACTTTGTATAAATAGATAGTCATCTATCAAGACAAATTTTCAATGAGCACTTCAACCACCGCGATGAAAACGAATCGACAATTAGAACGATCTGAGACACATATTACAATATTTTCTCAAGAAATGAAGATTAACAAATGATATTGATTAATTATAATGATGAAATTTGTTTCATGCGATAAACACTGCTTAAGGGAAAGATATATATACCCTTGCTCTGGGAGATTCGTGCGTTTCCTTGGCTACCATGATCCAGTATCGATCGATGTTCTCACGCACGCTTTAGAAACACCCTTCTTGAAATCATTAAATGTTAAAATCGTAATGGATGAAATTTTTATAAAAAAATTTTTAACGGAACACAATAGTAAACACTTGCGTTAACGAACATTCGCAGTATGAATACACATTTCTTCGTTTTACAAATCTCTCTAACTCAACACACAAAGCGTTCCTCCTTGATCGCGGTCTGGCCTCTACTGAGAAACAAGTACGCCAGGGGGCAGTCACGAGCAAGCGGTTCTCGAAGCTGGGAGCCTGAAAACCGTCTTCAGAAATCCCCGGTACCCGTTCATGCACGGTTCCATGGATGTATGAGCCAAACGAGCAAGCAAACCAAGTACGATCCACCCGCTCACCTCGCTATTCGGACTTGAGACGACGACGTTCCATTGTTTCGTTGTCTCCTGGCCCGGGAGCGTAGCACACAGACAGATACGGCTGCAGTAGCGCACGTGCACGCCCGCCCAATACACGCTAATCTTGGCACATGTACGACCAGGTTAAGAAGCACGTACACGCGGACGCGACCGCACACTCTCCGCTATAAACCGACCGACCAGTCACGCACGATCTCTCGTTCGTGTATGAATGCTGTAGTCCGGTTACCACCAGACTCGAACCCATCACGAACACAGGCTAACTTATGGACACACACATATTCGTGCGCGTTTGCTCTTCGGTCGCTCACGAACGAAAAACCAATCACAGTGCTTTGAAGTACCGATGGAAATTTATTATATTCTCTTCTTACCACTTAGTCTTTTCTTCTCAATTTTGCAATCATTTCAGTCAATTTTACGTCCATGAAGAAGTATTTATTACCAACAATTTAATATTGGAACTCCAATAAAGGAAAAACAAAAGAACTAGAAAATAACGAACGAAACAAGAAAACGTGATGCTTGGAGAAATATGAGAGAGATGGAGAGATAAAGAGGAGATAAGTGGGTGGGAGCTAGGTAGAATATAGTGGGAGAAGACAATGTCAAGTAACCAAACTTGACTCTCGATGAATTTGCATTTTCATTTGTTTGTTCAAGTAACAGAAAATTTGTTTCTTCTTTATATATATATATATATTACTTAGTATTGATAATAAAGAAGCATAATAATAGGAATCATATATATACGTACATAGACCTTGAAAATGAAAAATAATCGTATTTTTAATACTCATGATAACAGTATTTATATTCTTATTTTTCAGAATTTGTATCCTTGTAAAAATATGATATATATATATATATATA